AGATAAAAATCAAACAGAAAAGGAAACGAATAAATAGTATTTAAATGATTATGATCTTCTAACTATAATTTTCTGAGTTTATTGAACAAATTCTAACACCAAGATAAATATTAAATTCATAGATTTATTTTTATTATTTTATTTATTTTATGAATGATAACATTGATAAAGACACAGAATTGTCGTTCTTAACTAATTTTCGTAACCTCACATAAAATGTCGATTATTGCTCTTTTTACTAGTAAATCGTATGGATTATATCTATTATGGTAACCATCTATAATCAATTATGAGTTATGATGCCAAATTTAAGTATTGTCTTATGGGTAAATAAAATAATATTCAATGATAAGAAAAGGCACTTTGTCCAATCTTATTTGATGAAGATGATTTCAATCGTCTCAGCTCGCTGAGCTGAGACGATATTGGAGCAATAAATGTAATGATAAACTACCTATTTTATTTTGTTAAGCACATAATTCTGGTTCAATTGAGTTTAAATAAGTGCTGTTCAAAAGTCTAAGAGCAGTCGAAAGAATTGTAGAGTAAGATTGAGTTATCCAAATATTACCAAATTCAAACCCCCTAGATTTTTGATCATTTCAAGCGCTATATCTATTTTGGCTCTTTTGAATGAGCTTTTTACTATGAATTAATCTTCAATGTAAAAATTGAAAAAATAGACGATACTCAGTTGGTAAATTTGGAAAAGCAATAAATATATTGAGAAACTATATTTTGTTAAACATATAATTCTGGGTTATTACTAAGTATTAAATACAGTGCTATTCAAAAGTCTAAGATCATTCGAAAGAATTGCATAATAAGATTGAGTTATCCAAATATTACTTAAGTTTGCATTAAAATTACAAAACCAATTATTCAAATGAGATCAGAAAAATTCTCTAAATTTTCAAAAATTTCTATAGCTTTACTGTTAAAAAGTAAAAGATCACTTTCGATTTTAGTTTTTATAATAGTAAAATGAAAAACTTGCAAAATTTTGAGTAAACATATTTATCATAAATGAGAAAATAAAAAGAAAAGGCCTCGAACTAGCCTCGAACTCAACACTTTATCTTTGTATTTTTATTTATGAATATTTTGCTTTTTCAAATAAATCTGATTTTCTTCTAGTTGTTTGAATAATATGCTTTTAGATTTCTATTTGCTCTCTTCTTTATTCTAATTGTCTTATATAACAAGTATGACATAAATAGTTTCCAGATTCTTTTTGTCTATACCATTTTTTTGATTTTATTGCACAACATGTATTGCAATGACGATCATTCTCAAATTAAATATAAAATTATTTTATTTATGGTAAATCCTCAAAATTTTATCTAATTCGCATATTTTTAGCTATTTTAAAAGAAAGTATTTATCAGAGGTTATGAAATCAAGGTTATGAAAATATCAGAGGTTATGAAATCATCCATTATGAAATCAAGGGAATCCGATTTTAGCGATATCTAATAATAGCAAACCTTTTTAGTCTTAATAAACAAGCTTTCATGTCTGTGTTTCCCATAATTTTGAATATAAACAAAACAAGTAGGACACAAATAGTGTTCTTTGAGATATTTATGCCACCAAGTTTTAATTTGTTTAAACCCACAATTGAAGCAATCTCGTTTTTTCATTGAATTAATTACACCTATAAAATTTTAATAAATTGTTATTTACTAGAGATGTTTTAACTAATAAAACGTTTAAAAATATTTACTTATTTTATTTCCAATTTCAATAATTCTGCTTTCGAATTCTTTCGGATATTCAACTTTTTGTTTTTCTAACAATTCAATTTTATATCCAATTAAATTAATTTCTGTCCAATAACTTGATAAAATTTTGTTTTTGTAATTTTCTATATTTTCTTTTAATAATTCTTTTTTATTTATTTTTATATTTTCTAAACTTTCCTCTAATATAGAAGTTTCATAATGATTATTATTCGTCATAATAAAATTTTTATATCGGAGCATCTTAATTAAAAATTCTTATACAAATGGTTTATTTGTATGTTCAATTTAAATTAATCTATGAATTCATGGAATAAAAATCCATTAATTAGTGGGTTTTAATATTCGGACATTAAAAATATGTAAAGTACCCGCTTTTCAAATCCAGGCAATAAATTTTGAATGATTTCATTATTGGCTATTTCAATCAAAACTTTTCTTTTTAATTGGATAAATGGAATATATGTTCTTTTATCCAAATACAAAATAAAAATATTTCTATTCAAGTTAAATTCAACCAAAAGCAAAAATTCTTCTATATTACAATTGTAGCTACTATCATATCTATTATTTTGTTTTTCAATTTTTTTCAATACAAAACGCTCCATTAATTCAACATTTTTTAAATAAATAAATTCTCTTTTTTCTTTCCAATCATCTTTGATCTTCAGTTCAACCTTAATTAATTTTCCTTCACTTTGTACATTCAATTGTATAATTAAATTTAAAAGGGAAATGATATAGAAGTTAATCATCTAAATTTAAATATTTTGAAAATTTTTAATTTTGTTTTGATACCTTATCAACGGAAACAAATTTACTGGGTACGGCCCACCTTGTCGCGCGGCCACCTTGTCGCAGAGCCATAACTTCCTTCAAGTTTTCCGAATCTTACCAAATTTAGTATTAAACGAGACCTCTCATCGAGATAAAGAGATTGGTACCAAAATTGTTAAGGGCCAGGAATTTTTTAGCAAGTTATGGCTCTGCGACAAGGTGGCCGCGCGACAAGGTGGGCGTGTCCCAAATTTACTATATAATGAACTGTGATGTAAATAAATTTAAATCCGCCTAATATTTTGATATTTTTAAGACAAGATCGACATTAATTTAACACTAATATAAACACAAAAACTTTTTCAAAGATTATAGCATTTAAAATAGGGGGAGCACAGGAAAAGGAAAAAGTGATAAAGTGTTTTTTAAATAAAGTGGTTTTTATAAAAGAAGTTATAATTTTTTTCTGTTTCAAATATTCTATCATTATCAGTTTAGTAATGGGATTTTTAAAATTCATGTAAAACTGTTAATTTACAGGAAAATAGATCTATTTGTTCTAATTGATATTAAAATTTATTTAATGTTGGTGATTTAATAAATGTTGCTAAAAATATTAATGTGAATTTATAATTCTGAAATATGAATTTACTTTCAAAATAAATAAAATAAAGTACAATTTCAAAATATTTAATGGCATGCGTACTAATCATATGAATTTTCCATTAAATATAAAGTGCAAATATTTATTTTTAAATGTTTTATTAATTTCAAAATAAATAAAGACAGTCGTTAAATCAAGTCTATAGTCTATTATATTGCAATAAAAATCAAAGAAGATTGGAAAGAAAATAGTTGCGCAATCATATTTCAATCAGCATTCTAATGAAGCAGAGGTGACCGGAAATGGACTTTTTTCCAAATTGTCAAAAAATTGTAAAGGGGCAGGCAATAGTCCAATAGTAATAATAATCCAAGCAATAATAGGAATGTCAAAAGATAAGACATTTAAAAATAAATATATACACTTTTTATTTAATGGAAAATTCATATGATTAGTGCGCATGCCATTTAATATTTTGAAATTGTACTTTAACTTTATTTATTTTGTCAATCGGCGAGATAAAAAAAGTTATTTGCACTTTTTGTACATTGACTCGTTTAAAATAATTAGTTTTAAATATTTTGAAATATTTAATTATTTACCAAAAGCTGTATTAATAGAAAGTGCAAACATTTATTTTTAAATGCCGGCTATATTTTAAAATAAATAGACAAAGAAGCAGCTAGCAAGGCCATTTAATTGAAAGAAAGTTTGTTGACTATGTAACTTTTATCTTTTATTGATATCCCGTTAATCATTATAATATTAAAATTTAAGATGAATAAATTAATTATTATTATTCTCTCATATTTGGTTGTTCTGTTGAATATCCAAATCAAATGTAGAATGGTTGAGGTTGGATTAAAAATAAAAGATGATTGGAAAGGAAAAAGAGAATTTATTTATCTAAAAAATATTCAAATAAATGAACGTTTTGTATTGATAATGAATGTAAAACGGGCAAATAAAATTGAAAGTTATTTCAATAAAAAAATTGAATCGTTTAGTAAAATTGAAGTAGATCTTGTTGAAAAAGTTTTTAGTGTTAAACTAAATCAGGGGTCTAAATTTAACTCTCAATTAAAAACGAGAATTTTGATTGAAATTGCCAATAATGAAATTGTAAAGAAATTTTTGAAAAACTTGAAAAAACAGGTATTTATACATATTTGATTATTCGAAATTTTAAGCCACAAATTAATATCTAAGATTCGCCTAAATAATAATTTTATCAAAAATAATTATTATTGAAACTTCGATATTAGAAGCAAGTTTCATAGATTTAAATAAAAAAGCTTTATTAAAAGAAAGTATCGCGACTTATAAAAACAAGCTTATATCAAGTTTTTGGACGGAAATTAATTTAATTGGATATAAAATTGAATTGTTAGAAAAACAAAAAGTTGATTACCCAAAGGAATTAGAAAGCACATTTATTTATATTGGCAATAAAATTGGTAAATAGTTTTAATTTGGGCTTTTATTAAATGTTATTTTTGAATTTTAAATTTTATAGTTGAAGTTAGTGAAGTATATAAACGAAAATGTTTCATTTGTATAGTTACACAAACAAAAAAAATGGTATAATTATCTAAAAGGACGAAATTTTTGCAAAATATGTGGCGAATATAAGCTAAAATATGGCAAGCTTAGATCATTAGAATTGGCGTTTACAACTAAAAAGGTTTAGTTTTATCAAGTAATTACATTATCTTTTACACACTTCAGAAAATACATTGTTTAATCCATAGTTGTTTCAAACTGAGATATGTCCGAACCGTGTTCTGTCCAGAAACGGACAAATTTCTGCATGAGGGCAATTTCTTTATGATTTCGGCCACTTTTTAACTGTTAAAAATATCATTTTCTAGATCCTTATGCTAATTATGTTAAGTAGCAACATTTTAGTCTGCCATTTTTATTAATTTGAGAAAAAAATTTTTTCGTTTTTCAGGAGCTTGTCGACTTTGGAAAAGAACCTCCAGCTTTGTGTAATGCAGGCCCTATCGGGGAGGACCTCTGGAATTGGCAAGCAACCATTACTGGGCCTCCAAATTCGCCTTATCAAGGAGGAGTATTTTACTTAAACATTAATTTCCCCCAAGATTATCCGTTTAAACCTCCGCAAGATTAGCTTCAAAACACAGATTTACCATCCAAATATTAACAATGAGGGATGCATTTGTTTGGACATTCTTCAACATAAATGGACGCCGGCTTTGACTATTTCTAAAGGTAATCTTGGGAACGAGGGAATCTGTGTCTGGATAAAAGAACGTCCCCGTAGACGAAAATTTTGAAAATTAAGGGAGGATGGAGGCAAAAAATTTCAAATTTTTTATCATACTTCACTACATTTATTTAAAATATTTCCATCATTAGGTGTCAAAATCAGCGCCAAAACGCAACGCCAAAAGTCATGGCGCACAACGTGTTTGGGAGAGGTACTGCAAATAAGTTTTTTTCATATGTAAGGACGATCGTGGTCGGACTGTGGCTTACCACATAGCAGCTTTTTAACGAAAAATCCTAGTGGGGGATTATATGAAATTTAGGCCTAAGCATTGCTTGGATGGCAAAAAATGAAGCTTACTCGGATCATACGATTGGACGTTTTATGTTTAATTAACGCATATGTAAATCAAAATTTATATAAACTAATTACAATTGTACAATTGACTTCACTCCAAAATATCGACACCCAAAATGACGATTACCCAAAATATCGCAATTTTTAAACTTCATAATTGCGTATTCCAAGGACGGGGAAGTCTTTTTAAGATAGGGAAATTGTTCCTAAATGGAACAAACATCAATCATGATCAATATATCCAATCAAAAAAGGGTGATCGATCTCCAAGGAGAATCTTGATCGGTCGCTATGGTTAGTTCGATCGAAAATACAATTCCCCTATGTTGATATAATAATAAGCCTGAATTAATTTTATGCGTCCAATCAAAAATCAATTGGATTTTTTTTGATATTACAAAGTTGGGGTATGGTTCCAAAACATTTCTTCATGTTTGGGCTTACTATTGTAGGCAAAAAGAGGCAAAGCATTCGTAGAAATCTTTTATGATAGTTGGATAGATCCAACTTCCAAAAAATAATAAGAACGGTAGTGCAATATTTTACTAACGTATTTCAATTTAATTAATAAAGAAAATAATTTGATATAATACCTACTGTGGGTATTCGAGTTGTATAAAAGCATTCTTATTATTTAGCCGTCTTCTTAGTTATTTTATTCTTATTCTATTCTATCTCCAACGTAATCGGTATCAGAGGTGGGTCGTAACAATCAGAGATGTAGGAAATCGGAATAGCAGGAAATCTTAACTTGCTCTAAAGTCGGAACTCTGAAATCAAAATTTTTTAGAGATCGAAAGAAAATAAACGCCAGAAATCGGTAGTCGGAAATAAAATTTTTATTTTCAAAACTAAATTAGTATTTAAAATTGTCTTTGATGCTCTGATACCGATTACGTTGGAGATAGAATAGAATAAGAATAAAATAACTAAGAAGACGGCTAAATAATAAGAATGCTTTTATACAAAGCGAATACCCACAGTAGGTATTATATCAAATTATTTTCTTTATTAATTAAATTGAATTACCATAGTAAAATATTGCACCACCGTTCTTTTTATTTTTTGGAAGTTGGATCTATCCAACTATCATAAAAGATTTCTAAGAATTTATTATATTCAATAAAGCTAATATCTGAGAAGTACAGGAACGAATAAATAGCTATGAACATTGTTCGAGCTTCCAAAAACATAAGAACTATGAAGCATCAATATCCAACACAATTTAAAAGCATTCTGAATCTAAAAAATTAAAAACAAAATAATAAAAGTTAAGTAAATATTGTTAACACCTAGATAATAGGATTCATCTAATATCCGAAAATTCCCTCCCACTTTATATGAGTTTGGGTCGTTTTGCGCTGGGCTGTACTTGTTTCTTTTAGTACGGGCACTGAACTGAAATTAGCTGAAAATCGTTCAGCATCAAAAAATAACGTCTCCATTACAACCGGATCTTTAATGAAGGAATACTTTAAGAATTTATGAAAACGCGATATTTAAAATTAAATATTGTTTAGAAGAATCTTAAAATTTTAACAAATTGGTATTATTGGGGTTTAGGTTCATGGAATTTGTTCAAAAATTATTTTTAAGGTGAATGCCGATAGGGTGCTGAAATAATTGAACGGAACGAGGAAAGGATTAAGCTCTATCCAGATTTGAGCGAGCCTTACACGCTCAAAAAGCTCAAATTGTCACAACAAAACGACAAGAGTTATGACACAGATATGAAAGTACCAGGCTAGCATTTACTGAAGATGCTGGTTTGCTCCCAGCCGGCGAATAACCTTTTTCACTATACAATTAATTTCAGAAAATTTGGGTTATTGCAAAAGAAAAATTACAAAAAGGGGTGACGTATACTTTTGTAAAGTAATAGTGTGCTTCAAACATAGCATTAAATAAAATTTAATTTAATTAAATGCCAATTATTGTCGGAGTTTGGTTTGCGAAGCCTTATTTTTTGGATGACAAAGCAAAGCTTGGGCAACCCTGAGCTGGGTGATAATAAAATTCTGCTTTAAACTTCTCCATTATCTAATTCAATTGTTGAATTCCTTATGAATTCGTTTCAATGCCATTTGTGAACAATTTTAATTTTAGATAGGTGGAATAAAGATTGTTTTTAAATCTAAAATTAATTTAAAATTAAAATTTAGTTGGAAATAAATTTAAAAAAATTTTTTTAATATAGGAGCAAGAACTTTTTCTGACAAAATTATATTTTTATTTATAAAAAATGAAGAAATCTGGCCACTTGGTCTTCCAAAATTCCCAAAATTTTCGCCTGCGGCGCTGAAAAGGGAAGATTTTTGGCTTAAGGATCTTCCAAAATCCTCAAAATTTTCGCCTGCGGCGCTAAAAATGGAAGAAGCTGTGGAGTTGTAGTATAGAAGATTTCTGTGATTTACTAGGATTATGGTGAATCTGAAGAGATGAGGGATTTGCATTAATAAAAAGAGATATCAATGGATCTGAGTGATTAATGTTGCATAGGGGGTGTCAATACTATAGAGGGGATATGAAGAGATATGTGGCTAAATCACTAAAATTCCACCAAGATTGAACGTAAAAATATTTTTTCTGTGTCACTCTTTTTCCTCTATTTCACTCCAATGGAGACAAATTTTCAGTGCCACTCTCAAAAATTTTAAAAATATAAACTTCTGTTCTAGATAGAGTTAAGCGGTATCGGGATTTAGAGAAAAACCCGGGATCGGGATTTAGGGATGGTGATCCCGATCCCGATCCCGGATCCCGACACGGGATCGGGATTGGCCGAAATCGGGATCGGGATTTGGACTGGAGATCCCGATCCCGGTCCCGATCCCGAATCGGGACCGGTATTGAAAAATCGGGATCGGGATTTACTAAAAAAATTTTTTCAAAATTTTTAAATTTTTATTTTCTTCACATACGACTCAGTATAATACTAAAATTGCCACTGCGGTGCTAAAATATTGAGTTTAAGTATCATAGACGAATAATTTACTTTCTGATTCAGGGGATTAAGGGGGCATAGAGTAATAGGGGGAATAAATGGGATTGGGCTTCTTCTATTTTAAGCTCCGTAAGCAAAAATTTTGAAAAAGTTGGAAGGCCAAGGCGATATTTTTTAATTTTGGAAGGCCAAGGGCATTCAATTCTAAACGTTCAAGTCTATACGATTAAGCGCGTTACGTTCAAATGGGGACGATTAAGAACTGAGATTGAGACTTCTATACTCCAAATCCACCAATACTCAACTCAGTCCCTCTTGATCCCTCGATATCACACCAAATCACTCAATATTTCGTTAAAGTTGTAAAGACAGCTTTGTTCATTTTTGCGGCGCCGCAGGCAAAAATTTTGAGAATTTTGGATGTCAAGAAGCCAAATCTCTTCCCTTTTCTGCGCCGCAGGCAAAAATTTTGAGAATTTTGGATGTCAAGAAGCCAAATCTCTTCCCTTTTCTGCGCCGCAGGCGAAAATTTTTCTCACATTCACGCCTCCACTCTTCTGTTAACTTTATTTCACAGACTTAAAGTCAATTTATAAGGTCGGGATTTGCATCGGGATCTGATGCACATCCCGATCCCGATCCCGGATCCCGGCTCGGGATTGAGATTGGCCGGGATCGGGATCGGGATATATATTTCGGGAGCGGGATCAGAAAAATCGGGATCGGGATTTGAAAAACCCGGGATAATCCCGCCCGATCCCGACCGGGATCCCGATCCCGCTCAACCCTAGTTCTAGACATGGGTGTCCAAAATTTTCGGTTCGGATATCGGATTTGAATATCCGAGGATTTCCGACTATCCGACAATTTTATCGGAAGTCTGGGACGATGATTATGATTAACCTCTTTTTTTCTCGTGAAAACTATTTAAATTTAGTATTATTTTTCACCTCCAAAGTTCTCAAAATGGAAGAAATCTGGCTTCTTAACCTAAAAGTTCTCAAAATTTTCGCCTGCGGCGCTAGTAAGGAAGATGCCTAGCTTCTTTACATTCCAAAATTTTCAATATTTTCACCCACGGTGTAAAATATCGGAATTTTTTGGCGCCGAAGGCGCCAAAAATTTTTTATTGCTAATTCCCGACTCCCGATCCCGAGGTCATTTCCCGACCCGACTCCCGTTTCCCGATTCCCGGGTTTTTTCTTCTCCCGAGCATCACTATTAAAGATGGAACCTGTAGGGCTTTCAGCTCAATAACAAAAATCCCGGTCATCGAGTTTGTTTGAAATATTAGACTTGATTCTCCTATGACTCATTCAGTTCGGTTTTTAATCCGTAACCTTATCTTTAATAAATAAATTTACTTCATATTAATTAAAATATTTAATTAATTATTAAATACTGCAAAGAGAATCCTTAAATACGCTTCTACCTTCCCGAAAGGCAATTTGTTATTTTTTGGAAGTCTTAGCTGTTGCTAAGATTAATTAGCTTTCTTGATCCACTCACTTTTAGTATACCTAGTTAAATTGGGGTTCCTCAAGCTGGAGTTAAGCGAAAGAAAAACAATCGGTTTAGCTAGACCCCGGGATAATTAAGGCAACTTAATTCCTAAACAAAAAGTTAAATAGGGATCTATCCTATTTAAGAATTTTGAATAGATGAAGATCAGGGACGTCACGGGTGAGGAAAAGGTTAAGGCTTTTTCGAGTTGATTTTCAAAAATTTTGGATCTAATCTTAGATCGAATCAGCCGGCGGATGGTCCCTGTGACATTCCTGGTGTGGATGTGTGTTCGTTCCGTGGTGCGACACTTGGGGACGGACTTTTGCGGACCGACATTTGAGGATGGACATTTGAGGATTGCGGACCGACATTTGGGGACCGACATTTGAGGATCGAATTTGAGGAATCGACATTTGAGGACCGACATTTGGGGATTGCCATTTGAGTATAAGAATATTTGTATCTTAAAACAGAAATTATCACAAATTACAGTCGTCGACATAAAGATAGGGACAAGAGTGAAGTTGTTGCACACTACGGTGAAGTTGTTGCACAAGCGGGGGAAGTTGATTTGTCGGCGGGGGATGCTGTTTAAACGACGGGGGATGTTGTTCCGTAAACTGGGGATGTTGTTCAGACACGGGGGAAGTTGTTCCGTAAACGGGGGATGTTGTTCCGTCAACGGGGATGTTATTACGACAACGGGGGATGTTGTTCCGCAACGGGGGATGTTATTCCGACAACGGGAGATGTTGTTCCGACAACGGGGGATGTTGTTCCGACAACGGGGGATATTATTCCGACAACGGGGGATGTTGTTCCAACAACGGGGGATGTTGTTCCGACAACGGGGGAAGTTGTTCTGTCAACGGGGGATGTTGTTCCGACAACGGGGGATGTTGTTCCGTCACTGCGGGAAGTTGTTCCGTCAATGGCAAGAATTTTTTCCGTCAATTGGGGAAGGTAATCTGCGTGTTGAAATAACCTCTTCCGTCGTTGGAATAACATCCTCCGTTGACGGAACAACATCCCCAGTTTACGGAACAACATCCCCCGTCGTTTAAACAGCATCCCCCGCCGACAAATCAACTTCCCCCGCTTGTGCAACAACTTCACCGTAGTACATAATTTGTGATAATTTCTGTTTTAGGATACAAATATTCTTATACTCAAATGGCAATCCCCAAATGTCGGTCCTCAAATGTCGATTCCTCAAATTCGATCCTCAAATGTCGGTCCCCAAATGTCGGTCCGCAATCCTCAAATGTCCATCCTCAAATGTCGGTCCGCAAAAGTCCGTCCCCAAGTGTCGAATAACCGTTCGTTCCTATAGGCGCTTAGAGCGAGTTCTGGAAAAATCGATTTTGCCGATCATTATTTAAAACAATCCAAACGAAAATGTTGGAAATATAAACATAACGCCATATTTAAACCGCGGTATTTTTAACGAAATACCGATACCGATACCGCACAGTTTTTAAAAAATCGGTATTTTTTCGGTATCGGTATTTTACCGAAATACCGATACCAATACCGCCTCAATCAAAATACCGCGGTATTTTTCGGTATTTGGGTATTTTTCAGTTAGCGGTATTTTTCAGTCTGCGGCGAAAAAAAAAGATTTTTTAGCTTAAGCATCTTTCAAATTTCTTTCTTAAAATTTTCGCCTGCGGCGCTGCTAAGTAAGATTTATGTGTATATCGGAGGATTTTTATGGAGCTAGGTTAATACCTTATATCCATCTCATTCCTCTTATCACCCGATATCCCTTAATCTACACGAATACCCGAAATAATATCATCCATTGATTTTCAACCCGGAGAGCCCGAGTCAACATGGATCGTGTGCATATCATGAAAATTCGCCGGATTAAGTTCACTTTTGCTTTTGTGTCCAGTAATTCTGAACCAAACACTTCCATTGATTCATTATAGATACTAGATTCACTATTTATTCACTATTTATAAATTTATTTACATTTATTGTATTAAATTCGCTCATCTGGTAAATTTAAAAAAAAATACCGAAATACTGCGGTAATACCGATTATTTTTCGTCGGTATTTTTCGGTATCGGTATTTTACCGAAATACCGATACCGCCTCAATCAAAAATACCGCGGTATTTTGGTATCGGTATTTTACCGAAAATACCGATACCGAAAAATCGCGTTTGAATAACACTAATACGGTACCGTGACTAACTTTACTATACACAGCTATAGAATTAGTAATAAAATTATATAAACAAAATATAGAATAGCTTTTTTAAAATCAAGCATAATAGTTAGAATAGCTTAATTATTGGTTGAGATCATATAAATTATTGGGGTCTAATTCTATGGTTGAATTATATGCGGTGGGCAAGAGAGCCTTTTAGAAATTACAATTGCGTCAAGGACAATTAAGATTTCAGCTTAAATATTTCAAAACAGCGTGAAAAACATATGTTCGATAAAAATATAAACAAACAAAAAATTGTATTGACTAATATTAACCGCGGCAATTGACAAAAAGTGCAAATTTTAAAAATGCCCTTTATGGCTAAATAAATAAATAAAAAATAATGCGGTAAATTATGAAATGTATTTATGTTATTTTTATTTATTTTCTCACCGACTGATTTTAAATTTGCACTTTGGTTAATATAATTAGTAAATAAAATTTTGTAGTTTGGTTAGATTTGTACCCCCTTTTGTCTCTAAGACTTATTTCGAAATACTCGGGTCGAAATCTTGATTCACAATGTCAAAAATCGAAATTTCGAACAACTCTTATTAAGTTAGCATATGATGAAAATGTCAAAATGAGACTATTTATTTATAGTGTAGGCAAGATTCTTGTCGGGAGTCGGGAGTTCCCGACAAATGGTTTGGAGAGAGAGGAGAGTCGTGGCACCAGCTAGTGAGATGTGGCACTAGCACCAGACTGTGTTGGTAGTGCCAACACAGTCGAAGGAAGAAGAACAGCAGTAGAGTGACTCGGAGCACGAGTCACTTTAGCCAAAGAAGAGTAGTGGTGAACGGTAGTGCCGTTCACCAAGGAAGCAGAAGTGAACGGAGCACGTTCACTTTTAATACACCAACAAACACACAAGTCCACCAACAAATAAATTTATTTCTCCAAATAGCAATAAACAATTTAAGCGAAGAGCCAGCTAGGGCTAAGTGTAATTGAACACAAAGCAAGTAAGGCCAACTAGGGCCAGAAGCAGTTGATCAGCCACACACAGAAGTTGTTGGAAGCAGTTAATTGATGGAGTGAATGGAGGATAATGAAGGAATAATGTGTGGCTGACCCAATGTTTTAAATAGACCCAAATAAAGGCGGGGTTTGGCAATAAAAATTTCAAAAATGTAAGTTTGAAAAAAATGCGCGAAGTAGCTAGAGAAAATAAAACAGAAGAGAAAACTCGGCCAGAGAAGCCAAGTCCAAAAACAAAAGGAAAAAATGAGTAAGAGAACGGAGGGTGGCTGGCACGAACGGACACAAAAAATAAAGAAAGGAATTTAGGCGGGAAAATAATTCAAAAATAAAGAGTGGACGACAAAAAAATTAACGGTGAACGATGAAAAAATTAACCAAAATTGAATGGTTAAAAAATCGACCAAAAGTCGCCAATTTTGGCGACACTCCTCCCGCCCGACAAAAATCAATAAAATTGTTCGTCATCATCCGTCTTCCATCCGTCACCTTGTAGAGCCACATTGTTGTGATGAGTCAGTGCTGAGTACAGGTTGACAGCATGTCTCTTCGGCACGTGGGGTGGTCCAAGGCAGTGATGATGGTCGTGGATTGCCCTTTCGCGATTTCCCCTTTTGAAAGCTTTTGGTGAGGGGCGGCACTCCACTACCTGGCTTCCTCGTTGTCGTCCAGGTCGTTGTCGAATTGAACACAAGGTAACCGCGGTAACTTCACACGTGACAGCTGCGGTAGTCCCAGCTTGGTTAACACACAAAAATTTGCCAGCGTTAGAAAGGCTCGTATAGGTTTGTTTTGTGGAAGCTGCGTAGGTTCCATCCTTGGAGGTTATTGCTGATCGCAATATATTTCGAACAAGTTGTTTACACCAACAAGCAATACCAACCAGAGTTAGAATGGCAAGCATCAACAAAAAATGCATTGATGAGCATATAAAGGGGGCAGATGAGCCAGCGTAGATTTTGTTGATGAGCCACGAGCATGATGAACAAACACGATTGGAACGGTTGGAACTGTTAGACCCATTGTCAGTTGGGGGAGTCTCTTGGCCATTTTTAGATTTGAGCAGGTTGGCTTTTAGCTTAGAATTTAACCACACTTTGCGTCGACGGTGACGGTTGATTCTTCCGCTGTGCAAATTTGAGCTGGTTAACGACTTGGAGTCCGCTTTAGAGTCGTTGTTGAGAGAGCTGGTGATGACCAATCCCGAGTAAGTCACTTCAGATTGCACTGGTGTAGGAACTCTGCAATATTCCTCGAACATTCGTTTGTGAAGACCAGTCTGGTTGAACACACGCTCTTTAGGTTGAGGTTGTCTCCAATTGGCTTCAGACGGTCCATCGTAGTGACTTGGGTAGTACACACGCTTCTGAGATTGACGTTGTACACACAGCATGAAGTGGTGTCTGCCTCCACATCTCCGGCATTTATTAGCAGCACGACATCGATTGAGCATGTGACCATCGTACAAACAGTTGAGGCACCGTCCTTGTTCAAGCAGACGAGCTTTTCGTCTGTTGCGGGAGTTGAACATCGGACATCGGCTTGGCTTGTGTGCTGGTCCAGTGTGGCACAGTGAACAACCATATTCCTCAACTGGTGATTGTGGTGGACGACCAGGTAGTGCATGATGTTCGACAGGCTGGTTTGGTGATTGCGTTGGACGAGCATGTAGTGCATGCTGAGCTTCAATTGGGCCAGTTGATTGCGTGGCCATAAATGCACGAGAGACGTCGGCTGGCTCATGGTGATCATTTCGTTCAGTCGGCTGGCTGTAGTGAGGTTGCTCCTCAAGCATGGTTGGTTGTTCCAACTTGGTTGGACGAAGTGTGGTGCTTTGATCGTCCACCCCAGTGGCAGACTTCTCACTTCGTTGGGACGAGACAGAACCATGGTTGACAGTCCTTCGTTGCTGTAGGCATCCGTTGACCAGGACCACCAGTTCACGAGAGCGCTCAATTTGCGCTAGCACCGTGAGTTCATCGTTCTCCCTCACCTCGCCTCTCGGCAGCGGGAAGGCTTGGAGAACATCCAGTTCCGCTTGTTGCTTCGTTGGGAGGAGTCGGGCAATATAATCAGAACATTTGTCAATCAGTGCCTGAGCTCGTCCAGCGGCTTGTTTGAGTTGGAAGGCTTCCACTTCTAGACGATCATCTTCTTCCACAGTTTTGTTGTTGGCATTTAAGGCGGCCAAAACAGCAAGTCCTTTGTCCTTGAGTGTGGCCAACACGGTTGCCAGTTGAAAGCGGATCACTGCTGACATTGTTGTGGGTGTAGTTCACCTCCCACCAAAAAGTGTAGTTGTTGTTGTAGTGACTGTTGCTCAGCCAACCAAAAAAGAGAACGAGTAGTTGAAGTTGTTGTGGCGGTGGCTCCGCTCACACACAAGGTTGAAGTAGTTGGTGTAGTAGTGGTTGGTGTGATGGTGAATGTTGTTGGTGGTGTAGTAGTTAGTTGTTGTCGTCGTCCCCGTCTTCCCGGGTCGTGGCACCACTTTGTCGGGAGTTCCCGACAAATGGTTTGGAGAGAGAGGAGAGTCGTGGCACCAGCTAGTGAGATGTGGCACTAGCACCAGACTGTGTTGGTAGTGCCAACACAGTCGAAGGAAGAAGAACAGCAGTAGAGTGACTCGGAGCACGAGTCACTTTAGCCAAAGAAGAGTAGTGGTGAACGGTAGTGCCGTTCACCAAGGAAGCAGAAGTGAACGGAGCACGTTCACTTTTAATACACCAACAAACACACAAGTCCACCAACAAATAAATTTATTTCTCCAAATAGCAATAAACAATTTAAGCGAAGAGCCAGCTAGGGCTAAGTGTAATTGAACACAAAGCAAGTAAGGCCAACTAGGGCCAGAAGCAGTTGATCAGCCACACACAGAAGTTGTTGGAAGCAGTTAATTGATGGAGTGAATGGAGGATAATGAAGGAATAATGTGTGGCTGACCCAATGTTTTAAATAGACCCAAATAAAGGCGGGGTTTGGCAATAAAAATTTCAAAAATGTAAGTTTGAAAAAAATGCGCGAAGTAGCTAGAGAAAATAAAACAGAAGAGAAAACTCGGCCAGAGAAGCCAAGTCCAAAAACAAAAGGAAAAAATGAGTAAGAGAACGGAGGGTGGCTGGCACGAACGGACACAAAAAATAAAGAAAGGAATTTAGGCGGGAAAATAATTCAAAAATAAAGAGTGGACGACAAAAAAATTAACGGTGAACGATGAAAAAATTAACCAAAATTGAATGGTTAAAAAATCGACCAAAAGTCTTTTTAAACATTTTTAAAGTGCGGTCACAAAACAGAAAAGTACCCTGAAATTATATTTAATTAAACTCCGAGGTCGGAGTTACACTTTAATAATTCTTATCAAAATTAAATATCGGGATCCCGACATTCTTAATGTTAAAGAATATAGAGGAATTGGCAAAAATCTTTTTCTCTGCTCTATCATAGAAAAATGTTAATGATGACGTGTCAACGATGGCAGTCATAACAGAGCCATCAGCTATGAAATGGCTATTAGAGGGACTTCAAGATTTCTTCCTTTTTCCCTAGTTCTTGGAACCAAACCAAAAATTTCCAAATATCTGAGGGTTTTTCGGTACCGGATACCCGGAACCTCAAACTTATTAGGAAAATAAAAGATAATATGACAAAAAAGAATAAAAAATATAATAAGACAACAATAAAGAGACCTTATTAGAGACAATATAGCCCTTTGAGTTGAATGGCGACTTTTAATTGTCTGAAATTATATTTAATTAAACTCCGAGGTCGGAGTTACACTTTAATAATTCTTATCAAAATTAAATATCGGGATCCCGACATTCTTAATGCTAAAGAATATAGAGGAATTGGCAAAAATCTTTTTCTCTGCTCTATCATAGAAAAATGTTAATGATGACGTGTCAACGATGGCAGTCATAACAGAGCCATCAGCTATGAAATGGCTATTAGAGGGACTTCAAGATTTCTTCCTTTTTCCCTAGTTCTTGGAACCAAACCGAAAATTTCCAAATATCTGAGGGTTTTTCGGTACCGGATACCCGGAACCTCAAACTTATTAGGAAAATAAAAGATAATATGACAAAAAACAATAAAAAATATAATAAGACAACAATAAAGAGACCTTATTAGAGACAATATAGCCCTTTGAGTTGAATGGCGACTTTTAATTGTCTGAAATTATATTTAATTAAACTCCGAGGTCGGAGTTACACTTTAATAATTCTTATCAAAATTAAATATCGGGATCCCGACATTCTTAATGTTAAAGAATATAGAGGAATTGGCCAAAAATCTTTTTCTCTGCTCTATCATAGAAAAATGTTAATGATGACGTGTCAACGATGGCAGTCATAACAGAGCCATCAGCTATGAAATGGCTATTAGAGGGACTTCAAGATTTCTTCCCTTTTCCCTAGTTCTAGGAACCGAACCGAAAATTTCCAAATATCTGAGGGTTTTTCGGTACCGGATACCCGGAACCTCAAACTTATTAGGAAAATAAAAGATAATATGACAAAAAAGAATAAAAAATATAATAAGACAACAATAAAGAGACCTTATTAGAGACAATATAGCCCTTTGAGTTGAATGGCGACTTTTAATTGTCTGAAATTATATTTAATTAAACTCCGAGGTCGGAGTTACACTTTAATAATTCTTATCAAAATTAAATATCGGGATCCCGACATTCTTAATGTTAAAGAATATAGAGGAATTGGCAAAAATCTTTTTCTCTGCTCTATCATAGAAAAATGTTAATGATGACGTGTCAACGATGGCAGTCATAACAGAGCCATCAGCTATGAAATGGCTATTAGAGGGACTTCAAGATTTCTTCCTTTTTCCCTAGTTCTTGGAACCAAACCAAAAATTTCCAAATATCTGAGGGTTTTTCGGTACCGGATACCCGGAACCTCAAACTTATTAGGAAAATAAAAGATAATATGACAAAAAAGAATAAAAAATATAATAAGACAACAATAAAGAGACCTTATTAGAGACAATATAGCCCTTTGAGTTGAATGGCGACTTTTAATTGTCTGAAATTATATTTAATTAAACTCCGAGGTCGGAGTTACACTTTAATAATTCTTATCAAAATTAAATATCGGGATCCCGACATTCTTAATGTTAAAGAATATAGAGGAATTGGCAAAAATCTTTTTCTCTGCTCTATCATAGAAAAATGTTAATGATGACGTGTCAACGATGGCAGTCATAACAGAGCCATCAGCTATGAAATGGCTATTAGAGGGACTTCAAGATTTCTTCCTTTTTCCCTAGTTCTTGGAACCAAACCAAAAATTTCCAAATATCTGAGGGTTTTTCGGTACCGGATACCCGGAACCTCAAACTTATTAGGAAAATAAAAGATAATATGACAAAAAAGAATAAAAAATATAATAAGACAACAATAAAGAGACCTTATTAGAGACAATATAGCCCTTTGAGTTGAATGGCGACTTTTAATTGTCTGAAATTATATTTAATTAAACTCCGAGGTCGGAGTTACACTTTAATAATTCTTATCAAAATTAAATATCGGGATCCCGACATTCTTAATGCTAAAGAATATAGAGGAATTGGCAAAAATCTTTTTCTCTGCTCTATCATAGAAAAATGTTAATGATGACGTGTCAACGATGGCAGTCATAACAGAGCCATCAGCTATGAAATGGCTATTAGAGGGACTTCAAGATTTCTTCCTTTTTCCCTAGTTCTTGGAACCAAACCGAAAATTTCCAAATATCTGAGGGTTTTTCGGTACCGGATACCCGGAACCTCAAACTTATTAGGAAAATAAAAGATAATATGACAAAAAAGAATAAAAAATATAATAAGACAACAATAAAGAGACCTTATTAGAGACAATATAGCCCTTTGAGTTGAATGGCGACTTTTAATTGTCTGAAATTATATTTAATTAAACTCCGAGGTCGGAGTTACACTTTAATAATTCTTATCAAAATTAAATATCGGGATCCCGACATTCTTAATGTTAAAGAATATAGAGGAATTGGCCAAAAATCTTTTTCTCTGCTCTATCATAGAAAAATGTTAATGATGACGTGTCAACGATGGCAGTCATAACAGAGCCATCAGCTATGAAATGGCTATTAGAGGGACTTCAAGATTTCTTCCCTTTTCCCTAGTTCTAGGAACCGAACCGAAAATTTCCAAATATCTGAGGGTTTTTCGGTACCGGATACCCGGAACCTCAAACTTATTAGGAAAATAAAAGATAATATGACAAAAAAGAATAAAAAATATAATAAGACAACAATAAAGAGACCTTATTAGAGACAATATAGCCCTTTGAGTTGAATGGCGACTTTTAATTGTCTGAAATTATATTTAATTAAACTCCGAGGTCGGAGTTACACTTTAATAATTCTTATCAAAATTAAATATCGGGATCCCGACATTCTTAATGTTAAAGAATATAGAGGAATTGGCAAAAATCTTTTTCTCTGCTCTATCATAGAAAAATGTTAATGATGACGTGTCAACGATGGCAGTCATAACAGAGCCATCAGCTATGAAATGGCTATTAGAGGGACTTCAAGATTTCTTCCTTTTTCCCTAGTTCTTGGAACCAAACCAAAAATTTCCAAATATCTGAGGGTTTTTCGGTACCGGATACCCGGAACCTCAAACTTATTAGGAAAATAAAA